TTTTGTTTATTCGTTGATTGGTTAACTTATCTAGATTCATCTGGTAACCGTTTCCTGAAGGGTAATTCAGGCAGAATACCTCGTTATTCTGTGGTCTTTCATCGTTTCACTTTATTATTACCCTCTAGAACATAATGAACAAGTTATTGTAAAGTGGAAGTGATTTTTCTACGCTCTAATTGTCATCTGGAAATCAGAGTTCCATGCAAAAATCACATGAATTGTGTTAAGATCGCTACTGCTGTGGTAGTTTAGAAATTTAGTATTTGTAAATTAAAAAGGGTCACTATTAATACTTTTTCAAAACATAGTTAAGAGTATTTTCACTTTCACTGTGTTTTCACCGTCTAGTAAACTTTCGCCTGTCGCTAACAGCTTTGGTAGTAGCGATATTATTTACAATGCAATTAATATTTTTTTAATCCGACATTATTTCTTATTACTATAGTAATTACTGGTATTTGAATAGGCATTTCTGTTTTCCTTTTTCATTTTTATAATAGTGAAATTAATCTCTGTCGGTCTAGAGATCGAACGTATTATTATTCCTTTTGAGAGGTACATTTTCTTTAATAAAATTCTCAGTCTCTAGGCTGGTAGATATTAATGTAACGGGGTTGATAATAATGACAGAAATTAGAATGCATAAAACGTATAACGATAATAACAATAAAAACTTGAGACACGTGTTGACATAAATAACAAGAATTTTCATTTTCTTTTTGCGATGTGAATTACAGAATATTGGCATGGTGTGTGTAAAAATGTTCTCAGTGTCTCTTTTATTTATACTTCAGGGCTTACTTTGTTTGGTTCCGAGAATTTTATTTGTGAGGATGGCGTTTGAAATCGTCTGTTTTCGATCTTCACGGAACGCTGGCTAGACGTCCGTTTCTGTACTGCTATTGCTACTTGTCTGCTCATCACTGACTACTGCTACAGGTATTCTAGTCTACTCTATTGTTCTCTACTCTAGTGTACTAACTCTCTTGTGGTGAAAGTGTCGTTTTTATAATGATGAGGGTTATGATGATGAAATATCCTTATTTTTTTATCATCACTGATGGCAAGGTTATTTTTAGAATGATGACATATCATCATCATTCTGAACTATAACAATGTCATTGTTTTAAAAATGGTATGTCTACTCCTACATGTGCGTCTAGTAAATACAACGTTTATATTAATTTTTTTAATAAAAACAAGATATGTCGCGTAGATTGAATATTTTTTTATGAAAAAGCATTTTCTTATGTCGTTTGATCTACTTTAACTGAATCGGGACTTCATTTCTGGAATTCTTTTACTTTTGAAGTGGAAGCGAATGACTAGGAAGCATGCAAAACTGAAACCTTGTTATCGCAATTTATTAAGCGTTGCTTAGATGTGATACAGGGGGCACCCAGTGAGGATCGAACTCTCTACTCAGTTGTAATGGGTCTAGCGATTACTCCACGTTGAAGTGCCTCTGAACCCTTGTTATAAATTTACAAAAATGGGAATTCCTGTATTTTTAAGCTATGGTTACTTTACTTAAAACTGCATTGGTTACTTATGGTTCCTTCGCATATAACTACAGTTTCGGCTAATTCAGTTCTGTAGTTTAGGCTTGAATAACGTTTTCAAAGACTCAAAATTCCACATGAGAGCATACACTAGTAATAGTGCCAATACCTATGATTTGCTTGTTTCAATCTGCCTGGATAACGGCTGATTTATTGTTTGTTATATAATTTTATATTATGTGTGGACAAAATACTCAGGGCCTTATTTTTGAAAATTAGAGAGTGGCTCTTTCTCTTAATATGCCTTGTTTTTTGTTTTTGTCGGGATTTCGGCGATCATAACTCTCCATCAAATTTTTGTCCTCAGTAACTCTTGCCCAATTGCCATCCATCTTTGTCTTAGTGTTCCTTGTTCTACCATCTTTTTACCCACATTCATCAAGTAGATTATTCGCTATTTCCTCTGCTGCTCTTCTCTTCAATTGCTTTGTGAGTATTAAATTCTCCAAACATTAGCTGCCTCGTTCTGATTACCGATAGCATTTTCATAGTCGTTCCTAAAATTCTTCGTTACGCATATTCTGTCTATTCTCAGCATTCATCGGTAAAACCACGTTTCTGTCACTTCATGTCCCTTCTCTATATGCGATAAAATTGTCTAACATTCATTGTCATGTAGGAGAGCAGATATTATATAACACTCCAACATTTTTTCTTTGTTTTTAAAGACATTTTCTGATCACTTAATACTTTGCTTAGTTTCTGAATGGCATCTTTCGCTATTTCTATACATCTTCAGATTACTGTATTACACTTTACGTCGACAGTTACGAAATAAACTAACAGCCATAATTTGTAAAAAGTTAATTTATTTAACGACTGAGAGTTGTACTGGGTGCATATTATAGAGCAACCAGTCGGCAAAACTCTTCTCTAATAACTATTCAATGACTTTTTTAACATATGTAGGTTAATAAGTATATGTATTTTAGTATGATGGATTTAAAGAACGCCCACTATTTGAATTTCTGAGAAACGATCAACAGTTTTTCTGAGTTCGATAAAATCATTTTTAAACGAACTGTAACCAGAACATTCAGTGTGTATTTAGTACTTGAAAAATAAGATGGAATATTTTTTTTATGAAGATGTCCTTATGATTAAATTATTTTAATATTAAGTTTATTTTTGCTTAGGAGTGACGCCACAATGCTTGCATGATGTCTATTCAACGATTTTTAAAAAAAGATTTAAGCTGCATAATTGTAAAATTTCAGTACACTGTCTCACAGGGATGCTATTTTTTTTTTGGATTGTACTTAATGCATACCCTATAAAAAAGCCTTCAAGAATAAACTGGCTAACCAAACCCATTTCAACTTTTCTAGTTGCCAATAATAACTATTTCTTTTCAGTATTTTTAAATAAAACGGAATAATATAAACGAACCATTTCCAAAAAAACATTATGAAAGAATCGATCGCGCATTCTCTTTTTCTTTTTGATTAACCTGGTGTGGGCATATGCCTGCCAACTCAATGCACTGAGTTAAAAATGTGATTTTCAATTTGATTGTTAATTTCCACGACTTTTGTTAATACACAACAGCAGCGATTCAATACGATCTATTGATAATTTGTATTTTTATATTTTTTCCAAATATATTGACATTCTGCTAATAATAATCTATTCGTCGCATTCGATACTGTCTTGCTTATATTGTCATCAAATTTTAAATCGACTGAGAAGAAACGGTTGATTTTAATTGGCAATTTACATGTTATTCAATAAATATTTATTTGAATAACGTTATTTTGAGGAATCAGCAATATTAGTGGTCCTGACCTGGCGTCTCGGCTTCAGTCACTTTCCCACCACTTTTCTGTAAATACTTTCATTGTTCAGGTTAGCTCTTCGCTATGGTACCTAGACTTTATGAATTTAAGCGCAGTGCTCTACTGACAACGAGGTTTCATCAATTTACAGTTGAGTTGGTTAGATGCAACCGTAAGTTCTATGCCAACAGTTTCTTTTCATGCACTTCCCGCTTGTGGAACTTTCTTTCGGTTTCATGCTTTCCAGTCAACTTTAATCTTCAAAAATTTAAATGCAATGTCAATCGCTATCTACTGTCTTCCTGATTACAATTTTTGTTCTCGCTTCTCTCTCCGTTAGTGAGCGAGCTTCTTGATTCTATTTATTGATAGAATACAACGGCCGCTCTTATTTGTGTGGGGTGGACGGGTCCTACTAACATGTTTTATTTTTAGTTTGAATGTTTTGTTATATTTTAGCTTCGTTTTATGAGTTTATTCCCTCCTCCCTCATTTCATGTATTTAATTTTTATATATTTTTCAAAGAAAATAGAAAAAAATCCCCTCCCCACAAAAAAGGACATTTGGACGTTTTTATGTCATGGAAGTTTTTTTTTTTAGGTTCACGTGAATATGTTATGGTGTGGTATATATCGGATTGAATGACGATAGTTAAATTCTTGTGGTGAATGTGTACCGTATGAATCGGTCGTGAATCTGATTAGCTAGGGCTAAGATAATTTATGTTGCCCAGCCCACTCCCTCTTCGGCCTTGTGCCACAATTGTTTTTTTTTGTAAAAGCAATAAATCAGCATTCCCAACAGAGATTAGAATCAACAATATGATGCCACTGATTTGGAATTGACTAAAGCCCTAGAGTCTAACCTTGATTTGAACCTACACTTGGATGCCGAGAGCTATACTTAACATCTCTTGGAGACAACATCCAACCAAATCACAATTCTGTCAAATTTACTTCAGTATAATCAGATACTAAATGATTTCCGGTGAATTAGTGGTTTTTAAAGTCGGCAAATTCAGCCAGTACAAGAGACTGACACACGCCAAACATTTATCACACAGCAATCAATATTTATTCACTAAGTGATACTCAGATGGCGGGGGTATTTACTGTTATAACTATGATTAAATATATACTACCTACTCCACATTATTGTTTATATCCATTTACTGTTGAAATAATTAAATGTAACCGCCTCTCCCACTCCAGCAGTTTCTTTTCTCGCACATTCAGCGTGTGAAACTCCCTTAAGTTTACTTGCTTCCTTGATAACTACAATCTTCAAAAAATTAAATGCAACGTCAATCGCAATCTTCTGTCTTCTTGAATCCTGTTCATCTCTTGGCCTTTCCTCAATCTCCTCTATACCCCGTCTTTTCTCTTATTTTCACTCCCTGTAACCCCCTGCATACTAGTGACATTCCTGCTTTGCTTTGGGAGAAATGATCAAAAAAAAAAAAAAAAAAAAAAAAAAAAAATGGAAAGAAGTCTCTCCAAAATTTTGTTTCAAATTTTAGATGATAATTCTTGCATTCGTGCATTTCGCTGCTTAACACCGAATCACGAATGTAGTCAATGCTCCTGTTTTGGCTTCATTGTCTTTTAAACTGAAGATTTCCGTGACCTGTCGTCACCTACGAGCCTTTTATAAAGGGAATCACTGATTTGGTGTTTTGTTTAAGCTTTTATTGAGTGCATTTATTATCGGACCCAAACACACGTACGCAGAAAACGGGAAAAGAAGAAAAAGATCACACACAAATATAAGTCCGTTATACGCACATAGGGATAGATAGATAGATAGATAGATAGATAGATAGATAGATAGATAGATAGATAGATAGAACAAGTGTGAGAGAGAAATGGTGGGGAGAGAAGACGAAAAATTAATAAAAGACATACAAACAGATATAAAAATCAAATAGTAAGAACATATTGTGCTTAAAAACGAGAATGACAATAGAACATTTGAGTCTTTATTATGATAAAAAAAAAAATACAAAGTGAAAATTTGGTACGCAAACGGTGCTGTAAAACATAGAAGAGGTTTTGAGATACGATAGATAATATCACTAATGTAGTAATGGAGTTCACAGGTTAAAACAAATCGATATGAAGAAAGATATTTATGAGATGAGACATTTAAAATAATGTAAAGAAAAATGCATAGATACGAAATGAATTTCATTATTTCAGATAAATTCTGATCTGTTTAACTTTAAAGTAACAGAGGAAGATATAAAAGTTAAAAAGGCTGAGTAATGAAAAAGTGATATCAAATGAACAATTCGGCAGTAAAAGTTATTTATCGACTGAGATAAATGCATACGTACGTGTTTAGGCATCAAACGATAATGGAAAAGGATGAAATATGGACAATAATTTGTTAGATATAAATCAGTGGTGAGAAAGAAAATGACGAGAAATCTATCCAACTATGCGCACCCACATACACAGATCGACACTTCTCTTTCCACACACATACACACACACATGCACGCGCACTCATACACATTCACACACACACACACACACACACACACACACACACACACACACACACACACACACACACACACACACGAGATTTGTAAAAAAGACAATATGAATAAAGACAAAAGGAAAACTTTTCTTTACCAACGCGTTTTGTCGTATATTTGCTTTGTTAAAGCCCATCAGAGGACGAAACGCGCCAGTAAAGAAAAATTATTTCTCTCTCTCTGTCTCTCTCCCTCTCTCTCTATATATATTACATACAATGGGAATTAAGATTACTCATGGTTATAATCATTTCACCTTACCAATTAAGATTACTTTGTAAGGATTTTCAAACCGATTAGGTTAATAAGAAAAAATAAAGTTTCATTTTATTTTTATTGACCTAATCGGTTTGAAAATCCTTACAAATTAATCTTAATTTATAAGGTGAAATGATCATAACCATGGAATAATCTTAATTCCTATTGTATTGTTTGAATAAAACATTGAGCTCTCTATGTGAATCAGTTTTAATATGTTATATTATTAGGAATCACTTGGCTTATATACCAACGGATTATTACATTCACACACACACACACACACACACACACACACACACACACACACACACACACACACACACATATATAAGGTGCTATGGATAAATTATCGTCTAAATTACGCAAAAATGAAAATAACACTGTCATCTCATTTTAACATAGATTTACAAAAATATCACAAAAATATCTTGAAATACTAGAGTAAATTTATTCAATAAAATCGTAATTGACTTCAATCATGGCCTTCAGACCACTTTGGAATCTCCTGTAACTCTTCTGTGTGGTATCCTTGTATAATTTAGTGAATGCTGCCATAATCATTGATTTCAGTTTATTTTTGGTGTTAAAAGGATTTTTTGGGTCTCTCGCTCAACTGCACCCCACACATGATAATCAAGGTGTTTGCAATCTGGAAAGTTAGATATAAGGGGTGATTTGGTCGCAGAAATTGTCTGACAGCCATGACTGGATTCTCTTGCTTGTGTGGCATGGTGTAGAGTCCTGTTGTTAGAAACAGGGTCTTCCAGCAGCCACTCTCTTGACCCAGGGAAGCACTACCTCCTCAAGACACTTGATATAGGGTTCTGTGTTGAGTGAGGCCCTGTGGGAAGATGAATGGAGGCATAACGTAGCCATCACTAGTGATCATTCCAGACATCTTTGTAATTCCCATTAGACTCTTCCAACTCTTTCGGAATTTTCTAAACTGTCCCCAGATTGACGCCCAAACAATAAAATATTCTTACTGGAGCTTCCGGCATGAACGCCAAAGAGTACAGCATGCCTTTTCCAAATTTCTCGTGGACTGAATTGCGGCATGGTGCTCTTTTTCTCACATGCGGTGCCTAACTAACCCTACTCTACTATGCAGTCGACAAAATAAAAAACAAACGAGGCGCATGCGTGAAATTAAAAATATAAAATGATGGCAATTTACTCATCGCTCCCTGTATATACTAAAAACCAACACGTTACTTCAAGAAAACATAACCAGTATATAATGAATGCATCTGAAGCAGCAGAACACGAATTTAGACATGATGCAAAAAATATACCTACATAAGTTCTTTTTGTTAAACCACAAACATTCATCACGCCACCAAAAAAAAAAAAAAGTTTCAGAGCTCACCCAACATGTAGTCTAATAAATCCGACAAAAAGCCAAATATATCAAATTATACTAGTAAAAGTAAAAACAACTCTGCACTAAGAGCAAATTTAGGTCTAAATCGATGGAAAACAGACAAGATAATATATTGGTTCTGTAGCATAAACACATACATCCCTGCGCATTCAACCAACTTGATATTAAAGATTTCTATCCATCCATCACTGAATATATATTAGATGTCAATCTTCCTAGCAAAGGAGTACACAAAAATCACAACTAAAAACGATAAAATACTACCGAAGATCACTTCTGTTCGACAATGAAACAGCATAGTTAAAGAAGGAAACAGTTGACAATAAACATGTGAAGCTATGAAGGAGCTCCAAATCGAAAAATAAAAAAAGACAGCAGAAGCTTGCAATAACAACTATAAACTATGTAACATTTGCCCAGAGGAGAAAATAACCATACTAAATTTTACAGAACAGGATAAGCCGCAAAACAAAATATTAGGGTTAATTTCCAAATTCAGACACGAAACCAAATTCCTACTACACTAACTACAACTATATCATGACCAAAAAGATCAAATAAAATACCATAACCTAAATCTAATAAGTTTTATTCCAAATACCAAAACTTACAACTTAGAACCAAAGACAATCATCCAAAAATATAAAAATAAATAAATAAATCTAAATGGAATAAGCAGTCTTAAGGTGATGACCATAAATAACCCTAAGCATTAACCCTAAACCCTAAAGTGGAAGTGTTGTTTTCTGCATTCCCGACTTCCCTTAACCCCCCCACCCTGTGGCCTGGATATAGAGTCGCTAAAGAAGTAGTGGCACTTTGTTTGAAGATTGCACCATGGTGTGATACTAAGTCAACATGTAGTGTTGATTCCGATGTCCGCACTGTCTCTCTGTGTGTGTATATAGTGTGTACCTTACTCTTTTTGAGTAAGTACACATCTACTTATCATCTCTCAGTTGCGTCTCTGTCCTTGAACAGAAGGCGCTCAGTTGCGTCTCTGTCCTTGAACAGAAGGCGCTCAGGGGCTTCTCTGTCAAAGGGGCAACTGAGAAAACAATACTGAAGAGGTGCCGCGCCCTCCCATTGCACCAGAAGGAGGGATCGGTGCTCGCACCGAGGCCAACGCAACCGTCGGTTGCGGGGGCTGAGGGGAATTTTTGCTCCTGTCCCGGTGTACACTCTCGGGTCCTCACCTAAAAATAGACCTTGTGTCACATCCCGTCCAAGTGGGGGGGACAGAGTAAATACATAATATAAGGAACGGAAACAACAGAGACAGAAATATGAACTTTTACTTATTGTTGAAAAGCTCCATCGAGTTTTTTAACAATGTAAATTAAAAGTTTATGCAAATTATTAACATCGTTCCTTAACTTTTGTCCAGTAGCTTATTTCCTTTGTTCTATTTAATCTTTATTTAAAAAAAAACTATTATGTAAATTTTTGTAACTTTGTATAATATTTATTCATTACACCCTAATCTTTATTCGGTAAAAATTTCATTGTTAATCATGCATTACTTTTTAAGTAATACACATATTTATGTCTTTGTTGTTTCCGTTCCTTATATTATGGCCGCTACTATATATATATATATATATATATATATATATTGAGAGAGAGGGAGGAGGAGAGACTTGGCTGAGAAATATGAAGAAAAAATGAATATGATTTGCTAGGTTGTTTTCCCCTGTAGAACTCAATCACTGTAAAAGTTTTAAGTGATTCACTTTTGTGCACCAGGATTTAGTTGACCAGAAATCACCACCCACGAAAATATTTACTTCACTGAAAACAGTTAATCTCCAATGCAAATATTTACAATGCAGAAATTTAATTTACGACAAAAAGCGTTTGATGCTAAATTGTTTAATATTTGTTCTTTGACGTCACAATAAATAGCTCCTATGGTGTATTGATTCGTTTTTTACGGTTTATCAACTTTTTGCAGATTTTTTAAAGAGAGAAAATATTTTAGATTGTAGGAGATACTAATGATTTTCTGATACAAGTCCTACTAATTAACCCATAGCTGGAGAAGAAGAGGTGGATTCATACTTTTCCCAAGGTTTCTTAAACGAAGAGAATATAACGAACCCGACTAGACTTGGAATTACTCTCTCCGATTCTCAATTCCGAGTCATTATCCATTACACCATCCGCACATCCATGCTTACACCACATGGTATCCGTAAGCAGTTACCCATCAAGTTACTGACCAGGCTCGACGTTGCTTAACTTCGGTGATCGTACGAGAACCGGTGTTTCAACGCTCATTCTGACTACTAATCATACTTTTCCCAAGGTTTCTTAAACGAAGAGAATATAACGAACCCGACTGGACTTTGAATTACTCTCTCCGATTCTCAATTCCGTATGCAGTCATGGTATCCGTATGCAGTCACTCAATGTAGTTGCATCAGGCAGTCTCAACCGCGCTTACAGCACAGAATCAGAGCAAATATAGTTTCAGGAATATGAACATAGAACAGTTTACTTTCAGCAGGACTACGGATCATCGTACTTCTGGCAACTTCCAGTTACACAACAACAGCTCATCCCTTTTCACTGGGCTAGTTTAGTAAAGATTTGGTTCGTGAATATTAATCCCTTGGCTGTGTAGTGTGTAATTGGACTCAGTGGGAACGGGACTTGGTAAAACTGAGCAGTACCAGACGAGATGTTCCTGGACATTGGCAGCAAACAGAGACACTATATATCCGTAGATTAAATAAAGGGTTCAGTTAAAAATTTCCTGAAGTTTACGCTTAACGACAAGTACCTGATGAAAGCCAGAGGTCAAAACGACCGAAACGTCGTTGCTTACAACAACAAAGATCAGTACAATAGTCCGCCTGCAAATAATGATAAATCCACATTCCAAAAATTCAGGTTAAAAGATATTTAATATTTTAAAAATCAAACTACGTAATAATTTATATTCCCGAAACTATTGCTTTTTAAGTATTCAAAAGAGAAATGCGAATAACACGCATATAGATAATCCTGTCATTTTTACCAATTACTATATTAATTTATTTCATAAAAATATTTCATTAACAAAACTTGAGTAATATATTTTAAGCAGCTGAAAAACTATATTCAGTTATTATACGCGAGCGGGTATTCTCTACGTCTAGCGGCTGAGATATTAAACCAGAATTTCGTCATCCCAGAAACGTGCAGATAGATCATTATTTCTGTTTTGAAATTTTTAAATGGATCATTTTCACAATGATTACTCGATATCGCTGTTCTTTATCAATGCACAGAGGGTCGATATTCCTTTTGACCAATAAAGCAAAGAAATCGATAAAAAAAAAAGAAGCAGTTTCCGATGTGGTACAAAAAGAAATTCAGATATTAATCATTTAATAATTTCAGTTTATCTGTCATGTGTGTAACACGGAACTTTCCTTTAGAAAATATTTTAATCGACAAAGTCAAAAAGTAAGAAATAAAACAAAGGGCGATAAAAATGTAACTTAAGAACACAAGAAAGTATCAAAATAGCAAAAGGTGATCTTAGATAAAAATTGGCATAAAATTAATGTTAAATCCCACCCTCACCAAAAAAATGATACCAGTTCTTTTTTTTGTGTCATATCCCATCAGGGCATCACCGAAGTTAAGAAACGTCAAGTCTTGTCAGTACCTTTTTTTTTTTTTTTAATCATTTCACCCCAAGCAAGGAAGGAGTTCAGGGAGTTACAGAGAATGAAAAAAAAAAATAAAATTAGTGAATGTGAGGGAAAAGACTGGGTATAGAGAGGATTGAGGAAAGGATAAAAGATGTGCGGGGTTCAAGACAACAGAAGAAGGCGATTTACGTTGCATTTAAATTTTTGAAGATTTTAGTTATCAGGAAAGGAAGTAAGTGGAATGAAGTTCCACTGTCGGGAAGTGCGAGAAAAGAAACTGTTGGTGTAGAAGTGGCGATTACATTTAACTATTTCAACAGTAAAAGGGTGAAACCTAGATGCCAATCTAGTAGCACGCTTAAATTCATGTAGGCAGGTTCCTAGGGAAAAAAAACTCACCAGAACAGTTGCCATGAAAATATTTGTAGAAAAGACAGAGGGAAACTACATCACGTCTGTGAAAAAGTGACTGAAGTCGAGATGCCAAGTCAATTACATTTCAGATCCTTCTTTGGATTTTGTCAAGAACCTCTAAATTAACAGCAGAGGCAACAAACCAGATATCGCAACAGTATTCAATGCACGGACGAATGGCAGTTTTGTAAATGTGAAAGATGGACATTGACGAGAAAAACCTTCTGGCACGACACAACCAACTTTCCTTGTAGTAGACGCAGAAACGGTTTCAAACTACTTGTTTATTATTGTATACATCTTCATCTACTTGTTTATTATTGTATACATTCTGTTGGTGGAAGGGTCTTGGTTGATGGAAACAGAAGGAGATGTTTACAGACACTACCGTATAATCAGAGTTGTCAAGAGAGCAGAGCTGCATGGCACGACAGAATTAAAGGAAGTAAAAAAGAGATCGAGTGTTTTCGTCAGTGTTACTGGGGAAACTTTTGGGGAAGTTAACCACTTATGTGAGAGATTGAGTGATTGAGAAGTTAAGGGTTTGGATGCCAGCAAGATCATTGACAGAGTTGAAGGTGGGAATTAAAGTCACTGAACATGAATATGTTTGCAAACGGCTGTAGGGAGATGACCTTGTCTATATTATCTGAGATACTATCTAGTACGCAACTGTCTTGAGAGGAAGGGGAACGGTAGAGAAAGAAGTGGGAGCTGACTGTTAAGTAGAAAGAGATGAAGATGGTCTGGAGATTCAAGAGAGAATTCCCTAGCCAGCAAGAGATATTCGCGGACATAAACTCCCAGGACATACATGTGGACTTTCTAAGGAGAGGACGGTAACCAGGAATCGAGAAATCAGAGGAGGAGATTGAAGGTTAGTTTCGCAGAGAGCTAAGATATCCGGAGACTTTTCGAAGAGGAACGATTCCACATTCCAGAAGTTGGAACGAATACCACGAATGTTGGAGAAAGAAAGGTTAAGGGATTTAGGCATTTTTTGTTCAGTTGGTTTAGTGGTGATGTGTTATATTGGTAAGGAAAGGCCAAAGTTAGTAGTAGCAGTCGGACATCTAAACTAACATGTGAAGGAAGGGAAACTGGCGCAGACTGCAATATAGTGTGGCCTCGGGGTTGCCCACCGGAGGTGATTGAGACAACTTTCCTTGCGCGACATAGCACTGAAAGAACCTCGATATTATGAAATTGTAGATTAGAGACGCCTCTCAAGACGCAACGCAAGAGTTAGAGCTCCTAACTACCAGTCGGGAACAGCAACCAGAAAACTACCAAACCTGGTACCCACAGTATGAAGAGGCGTTGTCACCATCCACGAATATCACAAGAAATTAATGACAGCATCACTACTAAGGCCTGAGAAAATGAAAGGAACGGGGAAAATTTTCCTAAACAGGAAACAAGGCATGGACCCCTACTCCTGTTCAAAAGAAGGGGGAGGGGTTTGGACAGGGCGATAGGAGAGCCTATCTACTCCTATTAAAAAATACGGTAAACAATCCCAGGTTTGACTTCCCGATAAATTAATTCAAAGAACGAGCATTCTTTTTTATTTTGGAGAGTCGATATCCAGCCCACAGATATCCTATCACAAACATGTATACATACCTGTGCGCAGGTGGGATAAAAAAAAAATAAAATAGTTAAGTCTTAACTTAGTATAAGTCCGAATACCAATTCTTTCAAACTGCAAACCGGATAGACTACTTAACAATCAATGAAAGGTTCCGAAATGCAATGTCACAGCCTAAAATATACCTAAGTATCGACCTCCAAGTTATATGCAAACTAATAATAAAATTACCAAAATTAAAGAAAACTAAAGCACCGCCGAAACTACAAGAAAAAGAAAACACACTAAAACGACTCACTTTGAAAGCAAACATATGAAAATGTAATTAAAAACAAATATAAAACCTTAGAAGATGTTAGTGGAAGACCTAAAGTGGGGTACTATTGACAACGGCAAAAGAAGTCATCATAAGAGAAGTGAGAAACGTAAAGAGAATATAGATGAAATTCTTGAGCTAATAAAAAAGAGGCAGCAAATTATATCAAAGAATGACACAGAAATATGCTAAGCAAATATATTAGAAATAAATGCAAGCCAGCAATAGTTGAATAGCTGAACTAGAAATGTGTAGAGACATAACAACTACAGAATAGGGACATAGACGGTATGAAAGTGATTTTCCAAGCGTAGCTTAGAAGTAGGGGCACCCAGTGAGGATCGAACTCACTACTCAGTTGTAATTGTCCTAGCGAGACATGCTTGCTAACCATTATACCGCCTCGAGGTGCCCTAAAGGGATTTTCTAAGAGAAGCTTAGATGTGGCACAAAACCGAAAGTGTGGAGCACCCAGTGAGGATCAAACTTACTATTCAGTCATAATAGATCTCGCGAGACAAGCTTGCTAACCATTACACCACGTCGAGGTGCCCAAATGATGAACGATAAAAGAACAGAAAAAGTGCTCTTCGACAGGATTAATAAATGCAATACTCCTAATAAAAAAAAAAAAAAACGATACTATTGGATGCAATAAAAGTTCCTTGCGTTTTTAATTGAATTTCAAAGAAAATGTTGTTCCTTGAATTATTCAAACATGTATGTAGCCTTTTGTACCACTACTTTTCGCCATCTTTAAGCAGCTTCGTTATTTCATTCCCACAGATATTGGCATCTTTATGCTTGATGAACTGGTCTAAGTGGTTTTACAGGCTTCCAGAGAATTGAATTCTTCTCATTAACAGAATTTTCTAGAGGTCAAAATAAATGGTAATCCAAATGTCTAAGGTCAGTTGATTACGGCTCGTGTACATCCCAGACAAGCTGTACCAATTTCAGGCAGATTTGCAACGGGGCGTGATAGAAGCCGGCACCCTCACAGATTTCTTCTTTTAATCGGCTCAAATTCACTAGAATGAGTTCACTGTAAAAATTCAACTCCAATCCCTCCAGATACACAGTATAATTTTTTCGGATGCAGACCGTCTTTGGGAGTGGTTAACGGTGGTTCATTTCGTTTTTCCTCGGACTCTTTTCTATCCACATTGTTGTAACCTAATCATTTTTCATCGCCTGTGATTATTTTTTTTCAAAAATGGATTTTTGCTGCGTTTGAGCAGAGAGTCGTAGATGAAATGCAGTCCATTAGAATTTTTCTGTTGTTTCGTGAAAATTAGCCTTATGAATCTAA